AAAGAATATCGCGAATACCCTGTACAATACTTAAAAACCGTAAATACAAAATTTTAAGCTGTCTACACGGGCTATATCGTCATCTAAAACACAGATTTGAAATTATTGCCAATTTTCAATAATAGGAGGACCAATTTTTCAGTTTTTTGAATTTGTGGCGCACCCTGTATATTTTTCAAAAATTGACAAGAATAGAAGTTTATGGATTCGTTTCGTCTGCGTCTTCTGGTTAAAGAATTTTGTCGGTCTTGTAAACCGTTTTTGAAAAATGGTCTTTTTTGTAGACTCTTGTACACGCGCTTTTTATTTTTTTTAAATACTTCCCGACCCCTCAGCCCTCCCATTTTCAATTAGTTCCGTCACGGGGCAAGGCTGCATATAGGTACCAACTTTGAAGTCGGTTGCTTCAAATTTCGGACACCTATCAAGTCCAAAAGACAGTCGAAAATAGCACAAAAAAGATGGATTTCTTAGAAGCTTATGTGCCTCGTTTATAGCTCCAACTGTTCGAAAGTTATTCAGGAAAAACCTAAAGACGCGAACAGAGAACGGAGAACAGACAAACAGACAATTTTTTTTTACGGTGATCATTTCTGTACCAACGGCGATCCCATACGACTTACCGTCACCGAGATATAAAATTTTTATACGAGCCAGATACTTTCGAAAAATTCGATTTCATCGATTTTCGAAAATAACAAGAAATGAATGAATAGCACAATTACCAATTTTTTAGTAATACATCCCCAGACAAAAATAATGGGTTCTATTTTAAATGAACTCGTTGAGAAATATTCAATTGTGATTAAAGTAAAGTTATAAAAGAAAATATCGTTAGAAATTACATTAGGAAGAAATATACTTGCTAACAAATAGTAAAAAAAATATTTGAAAGCTGCCATTTTATCAAAATAAACTCCAATTTTTATGAATCTTGTGAAAACTCGTTAATTTATTTAATTATTTTTATTAAAAACCATGAATATGAAGATTCCGATGCAAATATCTTCAAACTGGTTCGAATAATGGATAAACCGCAAGAGAGTTTTTTTTACAAAACTTCTGGATTCCTCCTGCGTCGGTTTTTGTTGAGTCGAACTTGCTAACGTTTCGCCAATCATCCTGTTGGCTTCTTGAGCTTGACTAAAAGTGGCTTCTGCTCTGTACCCGCTTATATGTTGTTTGAGGGGAGGAGCTAAAGGAGATCGAAAGCAAAAGATTCCAGAAAGTTAAATTCTCTACGACCCTCAAAGTATCTCACCGGTATTACCCTGTAGGTATTAAAAATTGGATAATAGCCTTAAATAATGATTTAATATAATAAGGTGTACCAAATTTAAATTACAGTAGCCCGTGGAAGTTTGTTTGAAAAATTCACAAGAGACCTTTTTTGTAGAGCACTAAATTTTCTATAAGAATAATTGAATATATTTCACGATAATTACTTTTCAGTCAATATCAAAATTCATACCTTCGACCTTGAATATCATTAAAATCGTTCGATTTATGGAAAAAGTATGAGAGACAATTCTTGTAGAGGTTCCTTTGAGAAACTAAGAGGTTTCTTTGTGACGCCCTAGTTTTGTCAAAATTTAATCACTGCAGCACTGATTTTAAACGTTGCCCTTAGCATGTATTTTTATGTGGATGGTATAAGCAATAAATATATCATTATTATTATTGTTATTATTATTATGCCATCATATAGCATTAGATAATATAGTGGCTCTCCTACGGTTAAAATTGATGCCCGCAGGCGGCATTGATATCTTCGTACTGAAGGTTATAAGCTGCACTTTGAACCATTTTCGATCTGTCGGTTTCTTCAACGGACCTTCTCAAAAATTTTGTCATACTTGACATGCTAAGCTCCCCAGGCGTTGGTGCGGATCGTCTTCGGCCCATGATTTATTTGAAATAAAACCGGTCGTTAGTAGAATAAACAATTTTTACTGCAGTTTACATAATAACGCGGCGGTAGTGGTTCTCGCGGTATCTCGACCAAATAACTAGAGGAATCCTACGACCTTTAGCCCATGCTCGGATGGTTATGTGCTCGTGTTGGGCAATTTACAATTGACCCAGTTTCCGAGTCCGCTGTATATGGATTTGATATTTGGCAAATTGAGTGACCAAGTGGGATGATGGGCCGCATTTTCTCAGATAGCTCGTACTCGCTCGTCATTCACTAAAAATTGTCTTCCAGTAAATGAAACCTAACCTAAAATTTTGAATAAATTTTACGCTTGAAATCGTAATGAGTCCGAGTAAAGGTTCTGACCTTTTTCGGAAAATAGTTAATAATCTAGGACACAATGGTATTTATGGGCCATTTTTGTACCACAAACAATGCCGCGTCGATATTTGTAATTAAATATCAAACGACGAAGTTTGAGAGCGATTCTAAGGTCGGGTACAGACTTTTACTCTCACCTTTGGGATCATTGAAGAAAAAGTTCTAAATAATTTCGCTTAATAACCGATTCGAATGATGCTGCATATATTTCCCCGGCCGATTGTAATAACGGAATTGAGCAACTGGCTTTATAGCCGCCATATCTGGCTATTTATCAACATATACTGATAAAACGCTGAGATTTATTACCGACGATGTAGCGTAGAAACAACTAATAAGGAAAACGTATTGGCCAACGGTTTTTTTTTCTGTTCTCGCTCAGCAAGTATCTTTTGTTTTACGGGTGGGTCGGAAAAGGAATTTGTACTATTAATAATTCTCTATTGACCACATTACATGAAGAAATAATGTACCGTGTGATTCATAAGTGGCATTAACGAAATCAACAATCAAAATGTGATAGAGCCAAGAATATATGAGGATGAACATTTTATAAACAAATTATTCCTGGAATCTTCCTCATGGCATATAATTTATACACAAGAACATTGAATATTCTAGACCGGTTTTTTTGAGATCATTTATAATATCAAACCGCTTTATGAATATTCGAACAATAATCAATGACTCTTTTAAAATACTTTGGATAAAAAAACAGCATCGCTCATCAGTATTAAGTTGGAAATTTATCCTTTTTACATAAAAGACTTACACTTTTTTGTGACCTTGACCGTAATATAGAGTTTTTACTGTATGAGTCATCAATTGTGTCATGATCCTTCTGACACCTTCTTAAAAATGTATGCCTCCTAACTTTGAAGTCTTTTGTGTTTGCGTTTGCAAAAAGTATACCGGAACATAGAAAAGCCTATGTAAATGTTTAGGTGCCCAAATATTGGCTCCCCTGTACATTTTATATCAAAGTTGTAATATAACTTTTGAATGGGCCAGTGTGATTAACTCATATGCCGACTTTGAATAAATGTTTATAAGCCATTCTTCAGTTATTGAATAAAATGTGATGGCAAAATAGCAAAAGGTCAGTACAACAAACACGAGCGAATATTTTCCATGAGACATGCGCATTTGGTTTCACACATTTAAAACATTAGGATCAAACTAATACTCGGTTCTTAAGTCCCTTAAAGCGTTCTTGGAATCATTGTCATGTAAAGGAGGGTTTAAGCAAGAAGGAATCCAAAAGGAACGACAATAAATTTGACCCTCAAGTCTTTTATTCAAAACAATTGATTATTATAATAAAAATATAACTACAGAACTTTGCCAAAAAGACACATAATTTAAAATAAACAACGGCTTTATTTTCTACCAGATCGGTAATTACAAATATTTAGCATACCGAACGGCAGAGCCATAATTTCGTCTCCACCCCGCACCACGAAACAATTGAATCGAATGACATGGCGCATTTCGAATTATTGCTAAACGAATTTTATTTAGCACAGAGTAACGAGGAAGCTGGTACATAATAATATAAGTAAACTATAAACTTGTCATTTTTCTCACTTACCCGACGGAATATATTAATATAAATCAACTTGGGGTTGCCAATATAATAAATTGGTTCTAACCTCGCTTTTGTATTCTGTGTCGCTTTTGAATTTTGAGAATGTTTAATGCAGGATATTTTCGCTTTGTCTTCTTTTGTTCTCAAATTAACTGGCTAGTACTGCCCTCTGTTCTTTCTACCGTTGATTATAGAGGCCATTTTTTGATCAGTAGACGTTTGGACGAAACAAGGACTGATTATGATTAAGTTTTTTTAAAAAATTATCGCTAATCGATGATATATCTATAAAATGCAGTATATATCTAAAGATAATTGATTTTCATGGTTAGGTAAAGCTGTTTGCTTGTGGTATTAAAAATTTTCATTTAATATATAATGGGGCGATGATACGTACTTGCGGCTTTTTGGGAAACAACCAGACTTATGCTTCAGATGTCTCTTTTGTTCAATGCGGAATCATGTAGCGGCTGTACATATACATGTACTTTAAGAAATATTATAAAAGGCAGTATTAATTGTATCAAATAAAACCTGCTGTGCCTTAAGTGCATAATTTTTTTCTTATCATGTATTTACGTGCTAAAAGTAAACTAAATAGCACTAAATAATCTGCAATGCTGTTATTGCTAAAAGGACTTTTTTTTTAATATTCGAGATACCAAGTCGGATAAATTACCAAAGTAATAATAATGGAATATCCTGTATATTTTTAATTTGTAAATCTTCCAAATCTTGTAAGTCTACTTTCATTTCTTTTTTTTTTTAAATAAGTGTGTCAAATTTGTCTTAATTTTTTACTTTCAAATCATTATATGTCACATTTTCTTCGCCTAACGTTTGAAGTCATGGAAAATCCATTCAGTTCTAAGGAAAGCAATGCTTGCTATATTCAAATAAGTTCAGGTTAGTTTGATTGAATCAAATAAATTAATCAAAACTTGTACCTTTTTTCTTGACGAATATTTGGGTACATACATAACGCGAGGTTAGATTGATCACCCCATTTAATGTTATCCGCCAAGTTTAAAAAGCTACTGTTAATTATGATGCTAAATCATTGTAATTACTTGTACAACGCCATACAAAACCTTCATGTCGAAAAATGAAACTTACTGAACTTTGTTTTTTCTCCACCATCAGAAGTACCGTAACTTTGGAAACGGGCAAAATATTATGGTCGAGTAGTAACCAAGTAACCAACGTGAACTAATCTCAAGAAAATGTAACTGCCACGTCCAGCATCGAGCTTACATTGTTGCCAGTTGTACCTGCATATATGTCATACAGTGACAAATGAATGACACTCTGTCGGACCACTCTCACTCCATTTTACTGTACCCTCAAAGTAATCCACAAGTAAAATTTCAAATAGTTTTCCAAATAAGGGCACAATTGTAACAGGCCTATTCTTTCGTTGATCGGTTCCCAATCCTGTATTTGTTGAGCATGTTTTTCTCCGGGACGTGGAAGATTCATTGAAAGAACGTTGAAAGAAGACAGGGGCAAAGATACCAATTACACATTATCTTCAACGTAAACGCCGAAAAACTTCGAAGCTCGAACCACATCCAAACCCGGACGTAATCTTGCCGTATCATCAACCTTGCTTAATCTAAATTACAACGCAACGTAAAGAGAAAAACTGAAACGCATCTTAATATTCTCGTTTGTTGATCGTCCGTTTCCTGTCGTTTTTGAACAGGAAACATGTCGAAATCTTCTCTCACAACAAGGTCGTATTGTAATAACCACGCCAAAGCCCAGCTCTTGCCTAAAAACGTAATATTAATAACACGCTGGCATAGCGAACAAATTGCAGCCCGCGTATCGACACAATAACACACACACACACACATCGTTTGAAAATTATTTATTTAAGTAGCAATTACAGGCAATCGGTCGAACTCCACTCTGCAATTAAAATCAATGTTTCCGCGGCTCAATTGGCAAGCGGATTCGCCGGCTTGAACTTTAACATAAAAATAATACGTCCTTTTAAGAAGAAGCTCTCGAAATAATACGCTGCCAGTACTTAAAACGTGTGGTTAAATGGCCGGTAATGTATGATAATGTTATGCGAAAATGCGCGGGAAACTAATTTTGCGGCGTTTGAAAGTGATTTAAAAGTTCTTTATCGGTCGTAAATCTGGGAAATGGCTTAATCGGTATTCATTAGCCACAGTTGAAGAATGAGCCCACGCAATGAGTAATATTAAGAGTTTGTTCTTACCTACATTATATACTCGTGACATTTTATCAATTTTTATATATATGTATTATATTAAATGCATTTATTTTTGCTCAAATTAAAAACAAACTGTCTACGCAACAACATGGTTTTTGTGCAAAAAGATCATGTATCACCAACTTGTGTTCCCTGTCTTCTGATATCTGTGACTCCCTGAACAAGCAAGATCAAGTTGACGTTATATACACTGAGCGTTTGACCAGATAGATCATCTCTTACTGATTGAAAAAGCAAGTCAAAAATTTGGTTTCTCCGATTCGCTGATTACAGTGTTGAGGTCCTACCTGGTGAACCGTAGACAGTTCGTTGAGATTGAGGGGTTTAGATCAATTCCTTTTTTTCCAACTTCTGCCGTGCCTCATGGTTCTTACCTTGGACCACTTATGTGCAATATATTTATAGATGATCTCATATCGTTGATCATCTGCGGCAAGCTTGCCTAAGTGGATGACCTAAAACTATATCAATACATTAATGCATGACTCTCCGGAACAACATCAATATGTTAGTGGTTTCTTACGACAGCAGAATAACTCCTATAATCATCAATTACAATGCTTACTAGACTTGCCACTGTATCTGGGGATTTTATTTAACCAGACGTTCTCTTTTCTACCTCACATTACTAAAGAGTTTTCCAGTGCAACTCAAATTTTAAGATTCGTAATAAGAAATAGCTGGCATTTTTATAGCTCAGCTAGTGTTAAACTGTTATTTATTTAACTGTTACGTTAGGTCCAAGCTTGGCTATAGCTCGCTACCATGGTCACACATATATAACTGCCCCACTCAGTACTTTGAGAGTGTGCAAAGAAGATATTACTGAAGTATCTAATGTTCAGGGCGGACGGTTCTTATCCTGAGAGGGGAGTTGATCTTGATCTTCTGCTGGGAAGGTTCGCTGAATTGCCTCTGAGCTTACGGAGTCACAATTACGTTTTCGTGCCGCGGCTGGAAGGGAGACATCAATCAAATTTCTTACCCAAGTCCAATATCCATTTTCAAAGCCGATTTACAATATGTGTGTTACCTCCAACAAACTATCATCGCACTGCGATTTATATTATAAAGGTCTCCAGGCGATACTCTGAAACTTTCAATCAGGTTATCTGTACTGACAAGTCTAACCCTTTTTTTTCTCCTTTTTTCCTTCTTTTTTTAAGTTATAAGATTAGTAGATTTATAATTAGTTTTTACGTCCCCTGTGTATATATTTTGTTTAATTTATATTTAATATTTCCTGTAATTGAGTCATGTTACCTGTTGAAAATAAAGTGCTATTATTATTATTATTATTACTAATATTTCGCGAAGTAATAAAGATAAATATTAGTAACTATCGCCTTAATTTTCATTGGTGTCCCATGCTGCGAATCAGATGAACGATGTCTGCCTGCGGCAGGTTCTTCCTAAAATGTTAATTTCTGATTCAAATAGTTGCCTTTTGTTCTGGATGTCGATCAGATATCAACTAAAACCGGACTTTCCATCACTTTGTGTAGCGAAAACCGGCAGATATCGACCTCAAACTTTTCTTTTTGAGTTAAATACTACACGTTTCTTGACACAGAGTTTGTCTATACACTAGAAGATGTGATAACTGATTCAGCTTTCTACCTATCATATCCCATATCCCATATCATCCCACTAGCATTCAATAATTTTAATTTTAAAGTCAAATAATAAAAGCGAGGATTCTTGGAGACTAATAAATTTTAAACTAAAATCAAACTCGCATCTTACTAGCATTCCAGATAATACAGCATGCATCTCTCTCGCTCTCTCTCTTTTTGATATTTCAAGGGCTTTCGACTGTGTCAATCATAGTTTGTCATTGCGAAAGTTGTCTACTATCGGTTTGCCAGAGTCCGTCATATCTTTCTTCGAATCGCATTTTACTGATCGTGCTAGTACCCCTTCTTTGTTATTCCAGCTTCCCTGTATCCCGCAAGGAGCGCTTTTGGTCCGTTCCTGTTCCTCATTTATATAAATGATTCTGCACATTTTATTAGGCAGATCAAGTTTGCACTACTTGCAGACGACACCGGAATTATCGGCGAACCTGGTTTGCCGAAAAGGACTTGCTTTTGAACCGACATAAAATATCTTAGTTTTATCAAATGTCAATATTACGAAAGACACAAGCGCCAGCCTGCTTGGTATCACTATTGACGATAGATTAAATTGGTCAGTTCGTATTGATTTTGTCTGTAAATCATTGTTATCCGCACTCTATGCTGCGAAAGTTTAAGCAACCTCATAATTTTCAAGTTATAAAAAGTGTGTATTTCGATTTATTTCACTCTAAGATGCAAACTGGGGATGATCTAGTTATGCAGCCAGAGTGCTTCGTCTTCAAAAAAGAGCTCTCCGAATTCTTCTTGGTCTGGACTATAGAGAATCCTGTGGAACATATTTTCCCAATATTCATATTATGACTTTACCATCTACTTTCATATACAATAATCTAATCAAGATTCACTCTAATAAGTCAAGCTTTTCTGTTCAGTCTGACGTCCCTACCCAACGCGTAAGGCACACCAGTTAGTAATTCCCCGGAAGCGTCTTAATAAATCAATTAAGAATTCTTCAAACTTGAACTTTTACAATAAATTACCTTGTAATATTATAAAACGCCTTGGTAGTTATTCTTTTAAGAGCATCTACTGACAATGAACTGTTTTTACACTATTGATGAATATCTAAATTTCAAATTGTAAACCTGTGTAAACTCTTTACTTTTGCCACTTTGATTCGTTATTTTAAGTGACTTTTATTCATTTTTTTTCTTTCGACTTGCTACACATACAGTTTGTATACTGTGGTTAAATAATTAAAACTAAACCTAAACTTAAAACTATTCAATAAGCGATAAATTTGGTGATATTGCGGATCACGATAGAAGAGTTGCGGGTTAGCTGTTTCGATAAATTTTCTAATAACTACAGGGTTACGTGGCTTGGTATTGTCTTGCTGTACACTAGAGGTTACACGCTTCCAACTATTATGGCGCCGCAAACCATGGCACTAATTATAAATGCAGTTTAATGCTCGATGTAAAATTGTGTGTGTCTCTTGGCAGCGGAAGCGTCGTTTTTCACTGGTATCTGAAATGAGTGTTTGTTTGAAGTTGACATCTGCTGATTTATTGTACACCATTAAATTAGAACAGAAAATGTTGAGATTTTCACGGTTATTAATTGGTTTAGGACAGGTGTGGGCCGTCATTTGATAAAGGTACAGTGTTGCCGAATCAGCTGTCATAAACCAATAAATAAATAACTGTGAAAATCGGAACATCTTTTGTTTTAATTTAATTGTGTTAAATGGATTTTCATCAAATAAAAGCCTTAGTTCAATGATTTAAGGCAATTTATGTGCAGGTCTGATGCAGTTTTCAATAAGTGTCGGAAAAGGTAATTGTCACTTTAATCCGATTCAAATCAAGAAGAAAATACTACTATTTGACACAGAGGGGAAGTTTTTCAATTAATATCTGCAGGTTTGATGTAGTTTCCGTTTCAATAAATTTCCGAAAAGAATGTAATCTGTATGAACCAGAATGTGTTTTTTATTTTAGTATTGGCAACTTAAAACATAATTTTGTTCGTAAGCCTTTTATTGTCAATTTCGATCAGATTTATTAAAAAAAAACATCAAGAAACGAGATACCACCACCAAAGCACAAGATATAGATATAGAGGACGATATTACCTATAAACTCTAATTCGTTATTAAATCTGTCGATCCATGACTACCCTCCACTCATGTCTCTAAGAGTAATACTCTAGTCTAAATTCAAATCAATTCAAAATGTCTTTATTGGTACTGGAAGGATACGTTAGACAACAAATAACGACACTTGGTGGTTGCTCATTTCCCAACCCTTGAGAAAACAGTATAAAAAATAAAATTTGAAATTTAACACTCACACGCAATTTAAAAAAAGAAACTTGACTTATATGTACTTAATGAAGGGACTCATTCTCTCCTCATTAACAATACATCTTTGAACTTATTTATAAACGACTTAGCTGATGGGGCAGGCTTTAACAGTAGCAGGGACATCATTATAAACTTTAAAATTGCATCAAAATTAAAATTCATCTAATTCTCAATAAACAGCAGGTTTTCTTAGAGCAGGTCTTACTGATTATTATTTTCAATGTTCTCAGACAGTATAATCGATTAGCTATAAACAAATTCTTTTACAAAATATGTAATGAAACGCGTTTTCCGGGGAATTTCGATATAAAATGATGGATGATCAGGTGTTGAACACCATGAGGGATGAAATGCTATTCTGAACCTAGCTTTTTAGAAAAAAAAGGCTAGAATGGGCATAAGAAATTTGTGGAATTATTTTGAAGCTCCCTAGTTGCTATTATAAAAGCAGGATTGTAAAAATCGAGATTTTGTTTGTTGAGTTGTTAAAACCGTTATTAGAAAGCCTGAAAGATTATAAGCAAAAGTGGGGATCATAACAAAATTATGTC